GGTGCTTGAAAGCAAAAGGTGAGGAAAAACGTGACTAAGGCCTCTATTTAAAGGAAAATGGATGACCCAGATCGCTTTCGATCCAACGATCGTGCAGCGACCACCTCTACGTCCCTATCCGCTGACCGACATGCGTCTCTCACCTCAGGAAGATGAAACGACGCCGAGTGAACCGGTTAATCCTCTCACCGTAACTCATTGGTTCGCCCAACCGTACTGACCCAGTAGACGCATAACCCAGCTCACCCGAATCCCGCCTCCCCTACGGGCGCGACATCGCAACCCATTGTGGACACGGCCCTGTTTCATCATTTCGGAAACCCGTGATGCATACGACCGGAATCCGACACCAGGACTCGTCTCCTCCAAGGTTTGCAGGCTGACAATGGAGAGTTCCATCCTTTAAATAGCTAAGTCACCAGCTCAGGCACCTGTGTCACGCCCATGGCACCCACATCCAAAGCTGAGACCCCCACAGACTTGCCTCCACACCAATAAGGAAGTAGGACAAGGGGCAAAGTCTCCTCCCGTCCACCTACAGCAATGACATCAAAGCCGAGGCTGAAGCCTCCTAGCATCAAGAACCTCTACGGAACCCCTTAGAGAAGGGATGAAGGATCAGATCGATGCCACCGCAGGCCACATCATGTCTAGAAGGTCCAACAATGCCTCCCAGTACAACTGACACACTCTCTTCGGCCAAAGCCGAGGTCCTCAGCTTAGACCTCCACCATGGCCTCAAGATTGGGGGGCAAATGATGTAGACGCACATGGCCTCATCCAATGGTGGGCCTGCACGTGTTAGGCAGCGCGGTTCAAAGCGGACCCAATCAGGGTGTGAATGGAACATAGCTTGGCGAGCACCCTGAAACAAATAGCGTGTTGTCACCTGGCAACCTCGGATATCCACGCTCCTCACATACACACCGCATCCGGATCGTCCGAGCAAATCTACCTTCAGGCGGACTCAAGTATAAATAGGGGACAACCCCCCCCCCCCAAGGTAAAGGGTTGGAACTTAGACTCTATAGCTAGCACTTGAGAACCCTTACTCTTCCTTGTGGCCTCGTCTAAGTCCTCGCACCTTAGGCCTCATCCACCCTACACCTCCCTCGTACTAACTTGACCGTCGGAGTCTCTACCTCGGGTACCAACCCGAGGCCTCTGGCGTTCGCTTTCCTTCACTTCTTGCAAGACTGACCTATCAGTCCTCGGCTACCCCAAGCCTCGGACAGCTCGATCACACCTCGGCTTAGGAGTGAATTGACAATGTTGACCTCAACCCATTTTGACCAGCAACACTTTGCAAAAGAGAAAAAAAAATTATTTATTGAAACCACAAGATATATTTAAGTAGTTTGTCCAAAAGAAAAAAAAAAGTGTAAACATTTCGTAATTGAAAATTTTAGGACTTCCTTGGCCATGACCCATGTGTAGAAGACTACAAATGGGTAGAGTTGTAAATTAAAACGGATCGAGTATAGGGTCGTGCTTGGCATGGCCGATGGAGTAAGGGGTTTAGGCCCACAAGCCAGTACAACACACCCCACATGTCAATCCGGCATGGGTCCAATTGTGCCAACTACCAACCCATGAGAATAAGGCCATAACACCCGAACGAATATAGGAGATTTAGGGGATCCAAAATTACCGAAATAACCCAATAATTATAAACAGCTAGTTTGGAGGGATTTTGAGTGTTTTGGCTTAAAGGGGCAAAAATGACTTAAATACTTCCCAATAGCTATATAACAATTAGTTTGGGGAGGCACCATGGTAAAATGATAAATTAACTTTTATAAAAAGATCAAAATACCCCTTTCAACAACTATAAATAACTTGCTTAGGAGGGTATTTTGGTTAATTAAATAATTCCCAACTCCTATAAATCCCTTATCCCCCCTCATTTTTACTAAATTTTAAGGTTTAATATATTATATTCATTAAAATGGTTGATTTTGTTCAAACTCCCTTTTCCTATGGTTTCAACAAGGTCCAATTTTAGTATAATAGCATAAGGGTTGTTCACTGGTTGGGTTGGGTCGGTTTGAGTCATTTTTTTCAACCGACCCGACACGGTCAGTTTACTCCTTAACAAAATTGAAACTGATTGACCCTGAAGCAAAACCAACCCAAACATAAAGGGCCGGTTTATCGCTTTAGTCGGTTTTTATATGTGTTTTAAACTAAAATATCTCTATCTAAATATCTATTTATATTTAAGTTATTTCTTTTTACTTTTTTATGCAAAACCAAAATATATATTTAAATCGATTAATTTTTTATGAAAAACTAATTTTTTTGTCAATATCTATATAAATTTATACAAAACTGAATTAAATATTGTACCATTGTGTTATATTTGTATTAGTTTTACGTTTTTAGTTTTTATCATAAATAACCAATTTTTTTAAAGTTGAAACAAAACACAAATAAAATATATCAACATTTAACATATAGGGTAGGGACTAATTAATAATTACTTAAAAATATAGGATCGGTTTGGTTTGGTTTGGCTTCGGTTTTTATACATGAAAATCGAAACCGGACCGAGTTGTCGATTTATTTTTTCATACAAACCGAAACCGACCAGTGATTTTGAAGAACCAACCAACTCAGGTTGGGTGAGGCCAGTTTGGTCGGTATGGCATTTAATGTGAACACCCCTAAATAGCATTAATATTGAAGTTGGTGCTATTGTTAATAATACTTCTCCTAGTGTACCTAGGAGGTGCAAGAGAAAAAACTTAGTGAAGTTTCAAAAATGTCACAATAGAAGTTGAGGGAAAGGGAAAGAGAGTAGTTTGCCAAAAATGCACAAGTAATTTTAACTACCACATCAATGGTGGCACATGCCATTTAGTTAGACACATGGCATCACACTACAAAACATGATAATTCAAATCATATGCAAATTGCATCTGGATTTTTATTAATTTTTAATATTCAACAAAAATATGCGACAAGAATTAACAAAATATATTGCACATGTTGAACAACCATTTTTATTTTCTAAAGACCCTAAGCTTGAAAGATTTTTACAATAATTTGTACTCAATTTAAAAGAGTTTCTAGGTATACTACAAGAATGGACACTTTAAAAATTCATCATAGTTTTGGCACTTAGGCTCAATTTGGAAGGAGTACAAATACAAATATGTGGAGTGCAAAACCTTATATTTTTGTATTATTTTGTATGCATTTGTATTGTACATATTTGTATTTGTACTCTTTCCAAACTGAGCCTTACTTCCAAAATTGCACCTACCTCTGATATTTGGACTTCAAACTATAACATTAGATATATTTGTTTCACTAGCATTTTATTGATGAATCATAGTTTTGGCAAAAAAATAATTTTAACTTTTATAAGACTTGAATGTGCACATATTGCCTCAACAATTTTTAAATTCTTGTAAAAAGGAATTTTTATTAGTTTTAAAATCTCAGTTAAAACCAATTTTAAATGGAAAATTGTTTCATAATAGGTATGCATGCCATATTTTAAATTTGCGTACAAGAAGTTTTAAATATTATTTCACCACATATTTCAAAAATTAGAAATTGTATTATGTAAATTAGAATCTCCAATGCAAGAAAACAAGAATTTAAAAATTTATGTAATATAGGGAGATTCCACATTTATGTTAGATGTTCAACATAGGTGGAATTCCACATTTTCTATTTTAGAGAGTTGCATCCTATAGAGGGAAATTCTTACCATGTTTTATAACGATAGAATTCCCAATGACTTTACAACTAATGGTGATAGAGATGTTTAAATTTGTATAAAAGAGTTTTTACAGCATTTTTATGGTGCAACTAATTTATTTTTAAAAATATTGTTGAAAAATGGAAATTTAATTTACAAGTTTTAAAAAAATTGGAAAATATGTTTTTTCTCTGTATTGTTTAGATGTAATATTAGACCTTGGGATTAAAAAATGGTGTAGATATTTTACTTGGTTTTTATCATGAAAAACAATCCAATATTGGATTAAAAAAGATGTAGTTAATTCTTTATTATTTAAAATGTATAACTTACACGGGTCACAAACAATAATAAAACATAGAAAAACTTGAACAAGCACACCATCTCAAATTGCTAGTGCTTGTAGTGGAACAAATAAATTCTGCCATTAATAAGCAAAGGTAAGCAACAACCAGTTTCTTCCTCTTCATGAAGTTCATTTAGTGAATTTCATTTTTATTTGTAAATTAATATTACAATTTCTTCACATCTGAGGAATTAAATAATTTTGATATTTTAGATTGTTGAAAAACAAATGAAAAAGATTATCCTATGTTTGTTATCATGGCATGTTATCCACTAACCCTTTTGGTGTTTACAATTCCACAAAAGTCTTATTTTAGTACATGTAACAAGGTGTTGGATGAGGAGAAAAGATGCATGATAAATGAAACTCCGATGATGTGCCCATGTGCATATGCCTCAAGGATTGGCTAAATCCAGATGATAGACTGCAAGATAGAGGAGGACATGACACTTTGACCAATAGATTTCCAAAAGATGAAGATTAAGGAGATGGAGGTAGAACTAGAATAAAAGAATGAAACCATTTCTTTTGAATATTCAATAATTATACAATATTTTTTTATATTATTGATTTATTGTAAATTTTGATTTTCCATTTTATTTAAAAAGTCATTTATTATTTTTCAATCCCATTGTAAATTTTTATTTTCCATTTTATTATATTCTTTTATTCCAATTTCATTTTATTATTTCATAATATGAACAATTGTACACATTAAAGTTCAAATGAAATAAAATTTTAGACTTTTTTTCAATTTATTTTCTACCTTGTTGAGTTTTTTGTTAAATTTTTATTATTTTTTCAATTATTTTACTTGGCAAAAAACCAGAAAACAGAAGCCCGTGGGTTGGGCTGGGCCGGGATCGTGCTGGGAAGCCTGGGCTACGGCCCGCTACACTGCGGGGGGGGGGGGGGCACGAAGCTCTAACGGGTTTCTCTGTGATAAAAAAATCACAGAAGGGAGAAGTGTGTTTATCTCCGAAATCCTTGCTTCCTCCGTTAAGCGGAATGGTGTTCAAATCTCAGTAACTGTTGGAGAATCACACTTAGGCTCTTCCATCAGCAGAGGTAAGATTTCATCAAAACCCCCTTATTTCTCTACGAAGAATGTTTCTTCTTCATTGCGCTAGAAGGCTAGACCTGGTTAGGAACCCTAGGAGTGCTGGAGATTTGACGAACCATCTGAGTTTTCTCCAAAATCATTTTCTAAAATGCGTATCAACGGCAACAGATCAACACTCTTTTACGGTATCATACCTCATAAACTCTTGTGGATTGTCCAAGGAAGAGGCTGCATCTGCATCTAAGTCGGTCCAATTTGAAACCTCGCAGAGACCAGACTCAGTCCTCTCTTTCCTCAGAAACTACGGATTTACCGGTGTCCAAATCTCTAAATTCATCAGAAATCGGCCAATGCTCCTGTTACTTGATCCAGAGAAAATCCTTAAACCCAAATTTGCGTTTTTATCTTCTGTAGGATTTTCTCCACCTGACCTTGCAAGGATTCTCTATTACGACTCAGGTTTCTTGACACTTAGCTTAAGAAACCAAATTCTTCCTTGTTTTCAGTATCTTAAGGGCATAGTTCAGACAAACAACAATGTCGTCGCCGTTCTCAGACGCATGAGGTGGGCTTTTGGAAATAAACGGCAGAAGCGTATGGAAGAAAACATCACGATCCTTCGTGATCATGGTGTGCCTGAACAGATCATCTTGAGCGTTGTAAAGAGGCACCCGCAGTCATTTTTGATGCCACCTGATCTGTTCAATGAGAATGCCAAAGAAATTAAGGACCTTGGGGTCGACCCTTCAAAATTAGCTTTTGCTCTTGCAGTATCAATTATAACATTAAGTAGCAAATCAACGAGGGAAAGAAAAATTGATATCTATAAGAAATACGGTTGTTCTGAGGACGATATTACATTAATGATAAAAAGGAATCCTAATTGTCTGGCGCTCTCGGAGAAGAAGATAGTAAGAGTGATGGATTTTCTGATCAATAAAATGGGCTTGGAACCATCGTTTATTGCCAAAAACCCAATACTTCTCTGTTTTAGTTTGGAAAAGAGGATGATTCCATGGTATTCAGTAATACAAGTTTTGCTATCAAAGGGTCTCATTAACAAGGATATCAACGTGGTTGGAGCTCTCAAGATTAGTAAGAGTGATTTTATGGACAAGTTTGTAATTAGATATCAGAAGGAAATTCCACAACTACTGAAGATATTTGAAGGTGAGATGGACTACTTGGAACTAATCAATGGGTCTGAGGAAATGGGCAGCTGAAGAAGTTTCCGAGGGTTTAGTTTACAGATTTCTTTGTGATTTTCAATTCCCAATTTTTTCTAGTTTGATAACATTCCACTATTTCTGTTTCACTGAATTTGCTTTCAACACCATTGCGTTATTCTTACAACCTCGCTTTAATAGAAGATTCCATTCACAGAGATCGAAGACCATGGAGACAAGCAGACAAAGAACCAGAGTTAGGCACTCAGATACTGTTGCAGTTAGAGCTTTGATTGGTGGTTATGCATGAGGCTGTGTCTGAGGCCCAAAATTTGGCTGACAATGATCATCAGTCAGTTTTGCATCTCTGATTCTTGTTGCTTTGCATCTTTCAAATAGAGTTGGTTTGTTTGTCAAACCATGCCAAACGGTCTGATCTATCATCTAGATACAACAAAAGCTCATGAATCATGCCCACCAGCTCAGCTAATTAAGTGCATGTAGTCTTCACTGATCTTGGGTTCAATCCTGCCACCCCACCCAAGAGTTTGCCTAGAAAAATGAAAAAAAAAAATGCATAGGCATTGTATGCTTTGTTTGATATATTTGTCAAGCAACAACCTTAGTGTGATTACAGTTTTGAAATTGAGGAAGAACTTCATGAAGGAGCTCATAACCAATCAGTAGAAAGTCACTAGACCTGAGGAAACAGGTAAGTTAAGCAATTGTGGAATGTAGACTGTTTAAAGCTTTGTAAATTAGATATATATTTCCCAATATGATACAGTTTAAAGGAGCTTGAATCTTGTCTCACATAGATCGATAAATTTGTTTTCTTTGTAGGTTACTCTTTTCTAAGCATGAATGAGATATGTCAACCCAACAGGGGCCTTTGATCTGCATCCCCCTGCAACCTTGATTAATAACCTGAAGTATATTATTGTCTCCACATTTTTTCCTTTACTTCCGGAATGTGACTCACTAACCCATATATATTCTGTAATTAGTACAGACTGCTGAGTTATCTCGGCAGTCCAAGCAGTAACCAAAATTTCTAAAAAATTCAAACCATATAAAGTGATATACCAAGCAGAATCTAAAATTAGCTCTCTTTCTCCCTCCTCACATAAATGCACTTGCATGCGTATATCAATACTTATCTTTACTATAATGCCGAAACTTATGGCCTCATGTCAATTCAATTACCATCCCAAAATGTTGGACCGTTTGTTTTCCCCTCTCTCTCTCTCTCTCTCTCTCTGCTGTATTGTTCATACATTACCCAATTTGGACTGACTAGGACAAACCTCACGGTGCAGTTGTTCATCTTCATCTTATATTCATCCCGGTATGTTTTGGAGGGAGCCAAGGTGACTGCACAGTATAAAGGTGCAAACATCATGGCCTTGCTGTTGGATTCCCTTTCAGGCTAAGAGGCCAAGTTGTGAAAACCCCCATCCCTGTAGCTGTCATGGGTTCGAACTATTCTTAGTAAGAACAAAACAGCTTTGAACTTTGAAGCTACCTTTTTCAGGAATCTTCTTCGTGAAGTCCACTGATTATACATTCCAAGTTTCCAACTGATAGAAATAATGATCCCATTGGTTGCATCATTAGATGGCTTCCAGACCTCAATCTATCATCCTCTTTCTTTCAACAGTATCAAGATTTTTATGTGACATACTCCTCGATTGCTTGGCCACAGAATCAAGAGATTGACTGTGCATCCAACCAATTGCTTAGGAGTTTCAGGTTACCAAGTTTATGCCCTTGATTATTCTTTAGGACTGAATGATCTGCCACCCTTAGTAATGACATTCAATGGATTATGGATTTTTGGGTCGTAGAGCTTCTGTTGCATGCAGGTAGACTCGTATGCAGGGGTGATTTTGAAGGTTCTTAGGCATTCATCTGCTCTTACCAGGTGGCAAGTGTTGGAACGACCCCAGTGACGCTGCTCTCACTGTTGACTGTACAGCTCGCTCCCACTAATATGATATTTATCTAATTCTATACGGCATCTAATGGTCCTTACTGATGTACGTTGCACCTTGGGCACATTCTCTCCAGATAGGCATCTCATCTAAACTGGTAGATTCCGTGATTGTTCTGTTAAAATTTTCAGCTCAAATCAATGGTAACTTGTTTATATTCGCCAAGATAGTAACCTGTGGAACTTCCATGGTCCTCTGAGAGAGAACTTTGATATCAAGTGCATATTTTGAAAATTTAAAGAACAATTAAGGGTGTTTTTGTCCTTTTCTGTCAATCTTAACGGTTTAATTTTGTTAATAAGATATATCCAAGTAGTTTTTCAAACCATGGTATTTATACTCAAGTATTTTCGTCAAATCATAGGATATATTTAAGTAATTAATCCTATAATTTTTTGTAATGTTGGAGTTTAGGTTTTACAACAGATTTTATTTCATTGGTCTATGCAGGCAAGCCCAGCTACCCTAGCCAGCCTAAACGGAACAAGGATCGAGATATGGGCCATGCAGCTCAAAATGTTCTTATAATCCTACTAAAATCTGGCCTGGGCTCGGTGCCTTGGCTTAAACCATGGCCATCTCTACCAATGGAGGCATGCATAGAGGCAGGGGTGGAGATAGAGTTTGCCATGGGCTCATGGCTCCCCTCCGCCACCCCTCGCTCCGCCCCTGCATAGAGGGTTTTTTTTATATATTAATCACTGCCTGACACCCCCTTACTCTTTTAAGTGAACAATACAGCGTCAAATCAATAGCTATCCTCAGTGCACCAACTGGGCTATTCCTCAGTTCCGCCCCTGCATAGAGGTGTGAGTGAATAAACTATCTCATCATGCAAACACAGCATAGCATCCCTCCTTTGTAGATGTCATTTTGATATGTTGAGTGGCACTACTTGAGTTTGCTGATGACTCAGTAGTTGATTGCTCCATGCCTTTCAAAAAAGGAACCATGGGATCAAACCCATGAAATTGCAGGCTTTATGAGGTATAGCCAGTGGACCTCCTGTGTACCATTTATATGATATGAAAATCTATGATGCCAAAAAGACATGATACCAACATTGTAGTAGCTTTGATTTGATAAATAACACCTGATTGATTACCAACTTTGTGGTAGCAGTTTATTGGTAACATGTTTTTCTACTATCATAGTAATTCTATATATTAATGTGTAATTTAAGCAATAACTTCTTGGCCAAGGTAATTATTTAGTAAGAGTTTGGTTAAAATAAATAAAGAGCAATTTAGGGGATGTTTTCCAACGTGAATCGTTTGTGGCTTCCAAAAGCAAATCAAAACTATCTTGTTTGGAGACAATCTGGTTTTTAATACAAAAACATGGTAAACATATGGTTGTATGTATGTGTGTGTTTGTAAAACTGAAATCAAAGCATTTTCTTCTATTTTTGGTTTGGAAAAAATGTTTTTTATCTAATGATCTTATATTATCTTTCATAAATCATGCGATATCTGTACTTCAAATTTTGCTTTTAGTTTTAAAAACTATTATTTTATGGTTTCAGAAACATGAGTTTCCTTTTGAAATAAAACAACTTACTTTTGCATTTCAAAGCAAATTGCACGGTTGAATAACATGTTTTTGTTTGTTTTTTTTTTTGTTTTATTTATTTTTTTGTTACTGATATAATAATTTCAAAAACAAATGAAAATAAAAACATTCACAACTTGTTTTTTTTTATTTTAAAATGAAAATAACTGCGAAGTGGCAAAAACAAATAAACAATACAGATCTGGATCCAACTAGTAAGTTTCATATTTGATCATTTTAATATAATCCGAACCAGTTCCAATCCTTTAACCCACAAATGTATCCATAGGATCTGGATATAAAGCCAACCAGTTCTCAAAATTTGTCATGTACTTGATACAGTGATAGGATCTCTTGCAGGCAAGAATTCTGTACACACTCTACAAGTATGGGCATCCAACCGTACATTGTCAACACCTCCAAGGAATTTAACATGTGTATGAAACAATTGGATTTCGAATGCACAGAATTTTTGCTTGTAGGAGGTAGGGGGTCTTTGATGAGTCCAGATCTCTTGCCCACACAAACTCTGCCCATATTTATCAGTCACAATCACACGTGGAGAATATCTCATCCTCTGCATGTTCACACAAACTCTGTCCATGTTTATGGCAGTCACACATAGAGAACATTTCATCCTTTGCATAGTATTATTTAGGGGGAGATGTTTCCAATTCATGGGGGTAGTGTGTTGTGGGTAGACGTTAACAGACAGGGTTTTCGTGGACAAGAGATCCTGACTCTTCTTTGATGCATGTAGAAATGCATTCATGAGATTATATTAAAGATTTACTCAATCACCCTTAAATGTAACTTACAACCCCGATAAGTATATAAATAAATAAGGATCTAGGTCTCACACCTACACCTATCTATATATAACAACTTTTGTATTCAGGTCATTTTAGCAAACCAAACCTACTAAATAGAGATATTGTACAACGTCAGATTAACCCACTTAATGCCCTAAGATTAAATTATCAGCCAGAAATCTCTTCCTTTGCTGCTTTGCACCAAGCAATGTCCCCTTGTTTGTGTTCTCTGTATTACAAACCAACCTTACATCCACTTTGTATAGGGCTTTCCCCATATTTATATGATCTGTAAGGTTTTAAACCCAGACATCATAACACTCTCATGAATAAAGGTAGGCCACTTGAGTGAGATTAAGGCTGTATTTGGAATCGGTGTAAATCAAAAACGATGTAAACATTTATATCGATTCAGTTTTATTCACATTTGGAAAGAGTGTGTAATCATGAACGACATAAAACTCCATTCCGGTTCAATTGTGCATACATTTGGATAGTGGAGTTTACGTCATGAATCTGTGTAAAAACTCATCAAATATACATCGGTTATTGATGTAAATACTATATTGATAAAATCGATGTAAATTTTTACACCAATCCATCATGCATTTCAAAAATACAACGGTCACTTTATCATAGTTTAGTGTAAAACATCATTGGTATACTTTTACACCGATGACGTTTTACACAAATTCCAAACACAACATAAAGGCTAGAGATATTGTAAGATTATAAGCCAAAGATATTGCCAATTTGCCATAGAATATTTTTTTGTTGATTTCATAAGAAGATTTTCTCATATAAGCTCTTTAAAACTATGTTATACTAACAGAAAATTGTCATTTAATCTTTGAAGGCGAGAATTATCATTTATCCAAGTTTTGTAACATTTACAAGACATGTTTTGCACCTTTGGAAATATATTTCTATTGAAAATTTCTTCCCAACGCTAAAAGCAAGGTTCAAAATATCAATATGTATCGGTCGATACATATCATATCGGGAGCTTTCCGATACGTCATTACAGGGGGTGGTTTGGGATCTAACCCGGTTCAGGGGTAGATGGGTCTTAAACTGATCCCTCTGAACCAAATTGAAGAAAATTAAAAAAAAAAAGAATACGAGTCACGATACAATCCAATACACCCATATTTTGAACCTTGTTTCAAAGCAACTTTGTTTCCAACATGAGAAGAAACGAAAGCAAGCCAAGTTACTCTCGCTCAATATTAAAAGATGTAGAAAATTTTTGAATCTCTAATATTTTAATTATTTATTTATTTACTTCTGGCGTAGTACAGAAATGAAACACGTTGAGAAATGTTTCAAAGAAAAAGAGCAGAAGTTGAATTTTAGGAAGAAGAATTCTTCACTAAATAATTAAGAGAAAATTGATAATAAGAAAACTATCTTAACCTTCCCTTAGCTACTCTTTATATAGGCATACACCCTTATATCTCTTAATCCTAATCTGGAAACTCTCCATAATAGAATCCTACTAAATCCTAATATGGAAATACTCCATAATAGAATCCTACTAAAACTCGTTAAAAATAAATTCCTAATCTAAGAAAACACTCCAAAATATAATCCTACTAAAATCCTTCAAAAGAAAAGTCATAATTGAATATAAACTCGGAATGATACTATCTTGATAAAAACGAACTAAGATGGAAACTTTGAGATGACACCAACTTGGTAAAAACGTACTAAGATAGAATTCCCGTGATGATGCTATACCGGTAAATTTTTACTAAGATGGGTCAGTGGCATCATTTCTACTTCTTATGTATCTTGGAACGGTCCCAACTTCTAATTGGATCTTTGGGTCAGATCGGATTCGGATCACCCCTATCCAATCCGATATATATTATATATTTATAAATATATATATGCTATTTATTTAGTTATAAATATATTTTTATAAAAATTTGTTATATTATTTATTTTTTATAAAAAAACATATATATATATATATATGATGAAAATAATTAAAAAATACTTGTATTTTTTGTTTTTGTTTTATTTAAATTAGTATATTTTATTTTTCTTTTTAATAATTTATTAATTTTTAAAGAATACAAATTGGATCGATCAGATCTATCTGACTTACGAATAGGATTCGAATTCAAATCAAGTCCTATCAGATCCGATCGGGTCGAATCAGATATGAACAATATCAGATCATATTCGAATACATCCTGATTTGAATCCGATCCAATCCAATCCATTTGCATTCCTAACTTTTCAAACCCTTTCAGGTGTACATTGGGAACATCTTCCTTATTTACATATTATTATTCATGGCGAGATGTTTCCAAATGTGGGTAGGAGATCTGGATTCAAACAGTACAACCTAATGAAAGATAAAAGAACACTTGTTTGTAATGGATGACGTGGGGTGTTATTATTGGTTAAACAGCCCCTACAAAAACCCATCAAAGTGGACCAGCTTTATCTCCATTTATTTGGAAATTGGAAGTAACCTCAATGGGTACCTACTACTTTTGTTGAACTTCAATATTTTGTGCACAAGTTGTAATATCTCCATTTTGCAAATACGAGTAAAGAGGACACTTTCTGCTTGAATGGACAAAGTGGGACAAACAGAGTTCCTTTGTTTTTCCTTTCTTTGAAGGATTACAGCATTCATACCGATTCAATTCAAATTCTTATGCGGTTATGCCCTGGATTATTTGCAACAGTGCTTGGTTTAAAGGTATAATAGCCCAAAGAAAAAAAAAAGCTTAAACGAGGATATTGCAATTTGCAATGAAGAAAACACTACAATAAAATAAAAATGGCTTTACAGGATTCTAACATTCTATCAACCAAACTCTTTCCAAGTCTATTCAACAGTTAAAAAGAAAATAAGACAGACCTAGCCAACACCCAGCTGAAATCTACAAACCCAAATCATTTTTATTTTCATGAGAGCCATCTTCACTTGCCATTTATCCTCTCAATGACAGTAATGAGACCGTGAACGCTGAGCTTAATTCCATCACCATTAGCCACCATACTCCAGAACAACTGCTTGGCTAAAGCTGCTCCGGGCAACGCCACCACCCCATCAAGAGTTCAAGACCCATTCCGAAATCCTTCACCATGCCCCCTACAAAGGCTGATCTCCCCATAACCTCAAACAAAGGTGATAACCACCTCACAATACCGCCAATTTTCCCTCTCTAGCACCGATGTCGCCGCCGGAGACCGGTGCCCCGACGGGCCAACACCCTTCAGCACGCTCAGCCACGGCAATTTCTCTAGCAAGCATCAGGCGGCTACTCGTCGCATCGACGAGAACCCCACCTTCGTTCAGGCCCAATCGAACACCTAATGGGTGTCCGACCATCGTGAACACGAGATCGCTCACCCAAGTGACTTCCAGTCTTCAGTCAGCGAATTTGCGATATGGACATCTCGCTCTTGCAACCACGGCGCCACCCATGACTCCAATGTTGCTTGGGGTTATGGGTTCGGGGTGGATAATGGAGTCTCCGTACGTTAAAGGTCTGGGAATGGCTCAGAAGTGGCAACCACAACAGAGATAGAAAAAGCAGAGGGTGGAGACGAGAATAATGGCTTCGAAGACGGAGATAATCTTAAAGAGGACGTCGTCAAGGATGAAAAGGTGGAAATTTAAGCGTCTCCACCGAAAGGCAGAGCTGCTAAACCTCCATGGCCATGAATACTTGCCTAGATTCTTGAAGGACCAGCGCTTTCTTCCCATCCCAGAGTACCGAGACAGGTAACCAAGAGCAGTTGTTTCTTTCCTCCTCACTCTTCTGGGAGTTGGTTTTGCACTTTTGGCCCCGATACGTGTTCTTTTATAAGTGAGAGAGAGAGAGACCTGATTTCTTAGCCAGCACGACTCACGACAGGCCGTGGCCGAGGACTTTCAGCCTTTCAGATTCCAGCCAAACTGAGGGGGTGATGGGTGATAAAATAGCCCTACTCCAGGGTGTTTTTTTTTTTTATTTTTAAATGCTATAGGGGGTGTTTGGGTGATAAAACAGCCCTAAGCCCTATACAAATTGAGCTGAGCTATTGTTAATTATTAAAGAAGAAAAGGGAACGACTGTAATTAAGAATCGAATCTCTATCTGTTTGGCTTGGCTGTTGGGACCCTGGTTTTGTAGGAAAAGTTGCCATTGGTTTGGATGCCTAACATTTTTCTTTTATACTTTTTAGGCCGCCCCATTATTAGAAAATGTAGGATATAGATGTAGAGATAACAAGAGATAAAAAGGAAGGTAAAGTATTGCTAATATTTTTAATAGGCACGCAAATAACTAGTCTTTTTGAGCAGTACAACTTTAGTAGGTATGGAGTGAACATGGGTGAAGTTCCCAGCATGTATCTAAGGGCACAACCATCTAGTGTTTTTTTTAATGTGTTAGTTTATATTGATAAGATGATAGTTGGGATAAAAGGATTACTTATATAAATGTAAGTTGGCAATTAAGATTATGGACTTCTTTTTGGTAAAAAAATTAGAGATTTTATCTTCTTTGTCATCGTCGTCGTCGTCATCATCTTCTTCTTCTTCATCCCAACTTAGAAATTATGGTCTTCATGGAGTGTCCAGATGAGCTAAAACAAAGGTGCATGGTACAATATTACACTATTGTCACCTTTGTTTATAGCTCATCCAATTCCCTTCGAAGGAGTCTGGTCACGCTCATTCAGATGCATATAGAATATCAGTTGTGTTCTAGTCACCAATATTCTAGATGTGTGGCTGGATGAACATGACCAGCAATGTGTTGTGGTCAGCAGATCTAAACTCCTTTCGAGGAAGACAAGTGTCAACGACCACTTGATTAAGTTGGTCGCTCAGCATCCCTTACATCAAGGAGGCACAGGTTCAAACCTGTAGAACAGTAGGCTCTCATAAATCACAAACAATCCCGAGATTCCTCAATAAAATGTAAACAACTAAACATGCCAGCATTTGTAATAAACTCAAGAACAAGAAATCCCATCAACTGACTTTTTTATTTCAAATGTTAATGTATTTGCATTTCATTGGGGGTTGCATGCAATATGATTACAAGAAATGTTTTCTGATGTATTTCCACATCCAAAGAAAGATGAGAAAGATGAGAAAACAATGAAAATAAGCAGAAATATGTGAAAATATGGGTTCAATTCTAAAAAAAAAAAGGCTATTTCGTGAAAAAATGAAAGATTTCCCAAAAATTGGCTGAAAGTTGGGTCTATTTCCAGTCTACCTCTTCCAAGACCAGAAGTCATCAATTCATCATCCTGATTTTTAAAGAGATTGTGGGAATGAACAAAAAGAGAATGAGTATAGCCCACTCAATCCCCCAATGAAATGTCCGTAGAAAGATGGGGCCCTACTTGCCCAAACCCCTGGGTTTGATGCATTGACTCAACTAATTTCCAACCAATCAATCAGCCTCCCAATTGGTTTGTTTATACAACTCTTCCCAATGAGTAATACTAATGTTTGCACTCATAGACCGAAAGACTTAACACGTCACGAAATATGATTTCCACTTTATTTAGCCACAGGCTGGAACCTAACAACAATGGCAAGGGATTTTAGTTTCATGTTGTAAAAGTGTATATTATGAATGAAGATTTGTTGTAAACGAGTTTATGCAACTCTTATGTTCTTTTTCTCTTGGAGTCTATGCAACAAGCAAGAATAAGAGTTGGTGGTCTGTGGGAAGTTCTTTCTTTTTTATTATTATTTTTTTTTGATATCCGGCGGTATGCACCATTAATAATTTCCCCTGGCCCTTTTTTCCCAAAGTGCTGGTTGCTGGATTTGATTCCGTGTCGATGCTGAAATAAACCCATTAACATACCAACAAGCCAGCCCCCTGGTTGGTGGTCTGTGGGAGGTTTAAAAGACCAAAAAATGATCTTTTTCCCACTTGGTGTCGTGTGAACCAAAATTCTCAAAGACAAGCATGCAGAAAGACCGAAAAAAGCTGAAAACCATGAAACCGGGAAAGGTCAGAGGTTTAATCATGGTCAAACTGGAGGTTGAACTATGATGATGTGATATATATATTTTAAAGGTCATAAATAATCCTAGCCTTCCTAATTGTTTTTAGCTCAGTAGACCATGACACACACCAAACAGTCTTGGTCTTTAAAGACAAAGACCCCAAAAGCTCAGTGCATCTTCTCGTCCACTAAGCTATTGAAAGATCTACCTATAAAGATTTGCCAAACAACTCCAAGTCTTACGAGAAAGCTTTGAACTATCTTTCATTTAAAAAATATAATTCAACCTTTACCAAGGTTGGGGTTATATATGGATACAGGGGACAAGCTACCCCTTGTGTTCTAGACCTAATTAAGGGTGGAATTGGTGACAGGCTGCACATAGTCATATAGAGGCCACTGGAGAGTCTGCTTTTTTGCAATTTAAACCCTTGCCTCAATGAGCAATTTGATATCGAGTGGATTGGCCAAAAATCCAAATAAACGACTCTAATTTATGCATCGAGCCCACAAGATGGATGATATGGACCATTAGCATTTTGTAATGAGATAGGATTAATTGAATATAATAGTTGTTCAATAAGCCGTAGAACTAATAATAACACACCCCACCAATTAGGAAATACATGGACCTACAACCATTCAACCTCTCACTGACCTCATGTAAAACTTTTTAGTTCAAATATTTGACCAAAACAATCTCTAGTAAAAGGTTACTTTGGTTTGGATTAGACCTGTTCATGAGCCAGGTAGCCCAACGGGTTGGTCTGGCCCGGCCCGGCCCCCGGATGGGCTTGAGCATATGTTTTAGCCCACGGGTTTGACCTCGGGCCTAAAAGCCCGAGCCCAACTATTTTACGGGCCAGCCTCGGGATTTGTTAAAAAAACATGGCTCGAACCCGGCCCGGCCTGACTTTTCCTAAACTGTCTAACCCTAACCCTAAATACTTAAAATTTTTCTTTTCATTCTCCTTTCTCACTCTCACTCTCAGAAGCGGCTCTCATTTCCCCCTCTCAACTCTCAGAACCGGCAAACCCAACTGCACCTGCGAACTCAGTCACCAACGGCCGACTCCACCAGAACTAGTCATCTCTCTCTTTGGCGGTGATCTCTCTCTCTCTCTATCTGGCACCGTTTTCATCTTCTTTCTTCTCATTCTCAGTTCTCTCTCTTCTTAAAACTAGGTCTTCTATCTTCTCAGTTCTCCCTCCAGTCAATGCCACCAGAACCCAGGCGCACCGTTTTCATTCTGCAAACTCAGGCACCACCAGATCTAGATCGTCTCTCTCTCTCGAGCGGTGAGCTCTCTTTCTCTCTCTCTCTCTGTCTTTCTCTCTCTCTCTCTCTCTCTCTCTCTCTTTGGTCGGCACTGTTGTCATCTTCTATCATCTCACTTTCTCAATTTCTATTCTCAACAGGCACCATTCTCTCAATCCTTAGAGGGCACTTGGGCTCAGACTCCTAAGTCAGGCTTCGGGCTCGGGCTCTGGCTTCGGGCTTTTTATGAGGGCCGGGTTCGGGCCCAAGTTTTAGACCCGTTGGTCGGACCGAGCTCAGGCTCAAGCCTAAAAAATTTATATTAATAAAGAGCAAAAGCCCGGCCATGAACAGGTCTAATTTGGATTTCCCTAATCATTTATTTCTACCACGTGGAGAGATGATGTGACACAGCGTGGAAGCAATGAGAACCGGAGCTGGCTATGCAAGCATCGGGCGTCGCTAGCACCTAGCGAATAACACGATTTCTCTAGGAGAGAGAAAAGGTGGCGAAAATAGGAAGAAGAGAACTTGAAGAAATTCTGAAATCTGAAG